CAACAACAGCTAGCATGGAGAGGTGCCAAGACATCTACCTAGTGACGATTGGCCTTTAGCAGCGACAGTCCGACATTGATGGTCTGGCCCAACGATAGTGGTTCGATGATGGTAGCTTGATGGCAACAGAGGTGCTCAACGTCAGTCGGGTGTTTGTAGTACAGCAATGGCAAGGATGGCCAGACAACAGTGATACAGTGGTGGCGGGGATTGTACCCGATGAAGATGGTAAATCTAGGGAATTGTCACAAACTCGGAGATCACTTTTGCCTTCTCATCCAAGTTCAGCTCCCCTTCATGAACAAAGTTTTATAGATTTTATGAGTAACATCCTCCGTAAATACTGCATAAATTTGGATCATACCAACGGACGCCTAGAGTGTTCTCTTTGATCAAATGATATTTTATGAGTATTTAAGTGCCTTAATAATATTAGAATTAAGTGAACTTGTGCTTGATTTGATTATAAACTAGTTGATTTGAAGATCATTTGGTCCCCCAAAGTTTATCTTAAAGTATCTTATTATGCTTTGAGCTCATGCTATGGGCTCACTTGAACTCAAATGACACTTCATTTGAATTAAAGATTAGGCAAATAAATATTTGGAGCTCTTGGTCCAAATATGCATTACGATTTGAGCTCAACTAAGATACTTTATAAAGAACATCAATATTGGTCAATTCTTAAGGAAAAAAATTGATCCCACAAACATATGTAAAGTTGATCTTACTTTGTTTGTGCAACAAAAATTATCTATATGTTATGTTACTATTATAAATAAACTCCCAAGGGTTTCAAAAGTTTATCGATTGTGTCATTTTAGCTCTATTCTTAATGCTACCATAAAAAATTGTGTGTTTATTTGGATTCATTTTTCTTAAATATATTTGTTTAGTATGTCTTTTTATGCTTTTTTTTTTTCTTTCTGAAAATAAATAAACATGTTTTTGAACGCTCTCCTAAAATAACTTTTAGATCTCTTGAATGTTTTGAAAAATTACTATATCATAATCAAACATACACGAACTACATTTTATCTCAAAACAAAATATAGACAAAACAAAAAAAAAAAAAAAAAAAAAAAAAAAAAAAAAAACAAAAGGA